TAGCATCCAAATCCAGGGAGCAGACTAGCTCGGAGAGTTCACACTGAAAGGTCAGGGGTATGGATGGAGAGCCAGGTTGCCTGAATTGCCCCCCCGCCTTCTTCTGAGCCCTTTTGGATTTGATGATGGTTTAGGGTTAGGGTTAGGATTAGACATGAGAGCAGCACAGTGCCTGACAGGTGATAAAGGTTCCTCAGCAACATTATCTGGCTATGACAGAAGAGGGAGAATTTTCTCATTATCTTGGGTTCTCCTGAATCCTCTGTGGAAACCGTCCCCTTCCGTGGACCACAAAGGGCAACCAGAGTGGCAGTCTTTAGGATGCTAAGAAAACAGAGGTGAGCTCCGGCGAGGTGGGAAGAAAACTGTCATGATAAGCTGCTGCAGCTGCTATGGTGAGGTGCCAGCACCTTCTGGGCTGGCATCCCAGACCACTGATAGCAGCCACCTGGAGCTGGCATAGCTAACCCCAGCCTGCAGGGTTGGGGCACCACACACCTTTTCAAGAAAAGGCATCCCATGAAGCAGACGCCCTGGGAGGATGGGGCATTGCTCAGACAGACTTGCAATGGCCTCTAGCTGGTCAGGTCTCTCCTCACCTGCCCCTCCCACCTCCATTAGCTCTGGTGAGGGAGCTGAGCTCCCTCCCTCAGGGGCACCTTTTGCTTCCCCAGCTGAGGGCATCCCTGCAGGTGTCATACAGGAAAGCGAAGCCCCATGAGAGCCCCATGCAGACTGACTTTGTCGACCTGGATCAGACTTTGGGTTGTCTAAAAACAGGCAGTTTACTCCCAATGTATTTAAACTCAGTACAAGTAAAAAAAAAAAAAAAAGTTTCCTGGCGTAATACACTCCCCAGACCCCAAAGCAGCGTAATCACATTGACACTTACTCAGGGTGTGTGTCATTTCTCCCAAGATGGGTTCCAGAGATGGGCTACCCGTACTAACTTAAGAGCCTAAGGGCTCGCCTGGCCTCCGTCATACAGAAAGCATAGAGGTCATTTGTGCCATTAGCCACCTCTGGTCCTGGTTTTGGGAGCTTGGGGAAGCCTCTGGCTATAACAGGGTCATTTGGATAACTAGCCGCCTCTTGATATGGCCTGGATAACACAGATAATAATAATAACAGATAACACAGCTCACTAGGCTGTCAATCACTTCTAATTCTCAGCTTTCTGGATGAAGAACAGATTTTACACCTTTCCCACTGGAAAGACAATCCTGTGTGATTAACATTCCTAGTTTCTCTAGAGTTATGTGGGTTCAAGGACCTTCATGCCATGCTCCCAAAGCCTAGCTTCTTATCCTAAGGCTTGCTAGCATTAATCCCTTCCCTATTCCCTTTACTCTTTATTCATTAGGGGCCCTAATGAATGCCTAATTTGACAATTAAAAAGCATTCAGTAAAGAAAAAAAACAAAAACAAAAACTTTAAAGTATATACCTGTAACCCCAGCACTTGGGAGTCACAGGCAGGCAGATCTCTGTGAGTTCCAGACCAGCCTGGTCTACAAAGCGAATCCAGGACAGTCAGGGCTACACAAAGAAACCCTGTCTTGAAAACAAAAAAAAAAAAAAAAAAAAAAAACAATGAAAAGCATTCAATGTTTTCCAGTCTCTTTCCCCAAATGCATTTTTCGCGCTGTTCCACCTTCCCATAGCTTGAGTCAGCTTTGAAGAGGTGCATGAAGCTAGACATGCCGGCTTTTGCCTGTAATCCCCAAACTCAGGATCCTAAGACAGGGCAGCTGAGTTCCAGGCCTCCATTATAGCTTGACTTCACTACCCCCTCACACACAGACACCAGGAAGACTGTTGTCCTAAAGGCTGCCCTTCAGAACCGTCCTGAAGGCAAATGTTGGCTGCAGCTGGAAAGGACACATTGTGTTTTGTCTGTCTCTCCTAGTGGAAAACTCGGGACGGGTGACAGTAATCAACGGGAATTTGATTTCTAGAAAAAGTACAGAGTTTTATTTATGTTATTTTTTTGTTTTCTAAGCATTTGTGTGTGTGATGCATGTGTGTATGCATGTTCATATATGTGGGATGTACATGCACAGAGGTGTGGTTGATGTGGAAATCAGTTCTCTCCTTAAACCATGTGAAACTTGGGGCTCAAACTTAGTTGTCAGTCTTTGCAGCAAGTACCCTTACCCACTGGGCCATCTCACTGGCCCTATTTTAGTTTTCAGACTGAATCAGAACTCAAATAGCTTGCTGCAGGCTAAGGATCCTTAAAAGCTATGGATACTTCACAGGATAAATTTGAACACGAGTATTCTGCAGGGCCCAGCAAACTGCTCTATCGTCAAGGGTGGCTTCGAATTCCTGATCCTGCTGCTTCTGCCAGCCCAGACTGCTGGCCTTACAGGCATATGCCACCATCCCCAAGTTACTCTGTGACTTTTGTGTGGGCTACACAGGTACTCTACCATCTGAACTACATGGCCAGTCTGAAGTCCCATTTTGTGTGGGCTACACAGGTACTCCACCATCGGAACTACATGGCCAGTCTGAGGTCCCATTTTGTGTGGGCTACACAGGTACTCCACCATTGGAACTACATGGCCAGTCTGAGGTCCCATTTTCACAAGGAGGTATGTCACTTTCTCAGTTGACCAGAGGTTTCAGCCAGGTGGGTCACAGGGCATGGACTGGTCTTCCTTCAGTCTGGTGTCCAGCTGTGGGCACCCTGTAGTGCTTTGAAGTCTGACATTCTGAAGACTTGGTAACTCGTTTCCTCTCCTGTGCCCTTGATCTGCCACTGCCATACAACTGCCCAACTGAGAAATAACTAAATGCCTGTAAGGAGGGCAAGCCCTGTGCTGACCGCAGGCAACCGTGAGCTGGGCCTAGAGAGCCACCAGACAGCGCATCTGGCAATGCATGACTTCTGGAAAAGATTTCCATTAGTGCTAAAGTTTTGAGATAGAAATGCTGGCTCAGGGCATAGTGTGGACGCCTCCAGGAATCTTGCAACAGCAGCAGCCTGATATCATGTTCTGCTTTAGATTCTTGCCTGATTCCCTGGGTCTAGCAGACAGCAGTGATGAGCTACCTTATTCTGTCTTTATCTCTCCAACCATTTTAGTGAGATGAAGAAGTTGTCTGGAGCCTTCCCAGGGCCAAGGTCTTAGATTCCCATGGAAAAGAACAGCTCAGAGTGTCTGACTTACAGTTCTTATAAAGCTTGGGAGAGGGACTTTGGTTTAGCTGCTGAGTCATGGGACTGGGGATATTTGGTTTATGCAGAGCCGAAGCGTCAGTGTATCATTGGTGAAGTCACAAACCATTTTACCATTTCCTTGTTGCTTCTATTGTTAAATTTAATCCCAAAGATCTTGCTTTTTCATCAGTAGAAACTTAACAGCATGGACATACTAAGACTTCAGTTTTACACAATGGCTTGGAAACCTTGGCCAGGAATCGCCTAGAGCAAAATGCTAGAGGTTAAGAGAGAAATGCAGCTTCCTGTAGCTGACCAAAGTCAAGAGCACATTTCAATCTCTTTATGAAAGACAACACAGAAAATATAGAAACATATGGCATTAACTCCCAGACTTACAGCCCAGGAGAAATGTTGAGAAAATGCAACAGGAAGAGATGTGCCTGCCGTAGCCCCACAGTGGAAAAGCATGTGCCCTGCACTGTTTGCAAACTGGTGTAGTGGTTTGTTTTACTTTGGTTTTTTGAGACAGGGTTTCTCTGTATAGCTTTGACAGCCCTGGACGGGCCCCATGGACCAGGCTGGCCTTGAACTCAGAGATCCACCTGCCTCTGCCTCCCTGAGTGCTGGGTTTACAGGCATGTGCCTCTCGCTCAGCTCTTTTCTATTTAGTATTACATTTTTCGGTTGGGGTGGAGGTCAGATGATAGCTTACAAGGGTCTACTCTCTCCTCCGCTAAGTCCTGGGAATCCAGCTCAGGTTGTCAGGCATGATTGCTGGTGCCTTTCCCCACTGAGCCATCCCTCAGGCTCTAAGACAGTTGTTTGTTTTTGAGACAGGGTTTCTCTTTGAAGTCTTTGCTGTCCTGGAACTAGCTTCGTATACAAGGCTGGCCTTGAGCTCACAGAGGTATAGAGTTGTTTGTACCTTCACTGCCTGGGTATCAGAACTTTTTTTTTTAATAATTTGTTTTTATTTTATATTTACTGGTATTTTGCCTGCATGAATGTCTGTGTGATGGTGTCTGATCTTGGGAGTTACAGACAGTTATGAACTGCCATATGGGTGCTGGGAATTGAATCTGGGTCCTCAGGAAGAGCAGCCAGTGCGTGTAACCACTGAACCATCTCTCCAGCCCCGAGCACTTTTATTCTTTTTTCTTCTTTGAGAGAGGGTCTCATCATGTTGCCCTATCTGACTGGGAATTCACTATGTGGACCAGGCTGGCCTTGAACTGACATCTGCCTGCCCCTGCCTCCTCAGAGCTGTGGTTAAACACCAGGTTTGATCAGAATGGTAAAAAAAATTCCACCCACACCTGCCTGATGTTTGCCACATCAGTGTGGAATACTACTAGTCTAGATCTTTGAGAAACTAATCAGGAGTATGGGTGTCAAGAGTCCACATAGGTTTGATCTAGGCTACTGGCAGGGGGAGAGCGGTATTAAATCTTTCGAGAAAAGAACTCTAACAAGGAGTGAATCCATGCCTTATCCGCGTTGTAGTGGGGTGGAGGGGCTGGGTGGGTGTAGCACAAAGGTACTGCTTTTCCTTAGCTCGAGTGGGATGCTGGGTTCCATGCCCTACAGACAATAATATAATGATTACGTATATTAAGGGAAAGTTCACTTTTCCTTGGCTACATCTGTCTGAGACTCACCAGAGCAAGGACAAAAGGACGGGGTCACCTTGGCGGATGGCACCAGAGAGCCAGAGCCAGACTCGGCGGCGAGGACGTGCAGTGCGCAGGCGCACTGTCCCCTACGCCCCCACCCCTGCCATTCCACGTGGGAGTGAGGTCCCCACGCTACGCCTCAACGTTTCCACGCCGCCGGGGTCTCCCGCACCTCGCGGCGGGGGTTGGCCCGCTGGAGGGCCGAGCCGGGAAGGTCATCAGGAAGGTCGTGGGCAGGACGTGCAGCGCCGCAGCCGCGCCGGGTGCGTGTGGGACTCGGAGTACGTGCCGCTGGCCCAAGCCCTCATGCCCGCCGCCCCGCCCCGCCCCGCATCCGGGTTCCGCAGACCCTCGGCCGGGCCCCTGGCTCCCAGCGGGAGGACCGCCCGGCATTCCGACAACGCCTCAGGCCGCCCCGGCCCAGCCAGGCGCGGCAGCCCCCGCCCCCGGGCCGTCGCCCCCAGTCTCTGCAGGCCAGGCCGTCCGCACAGCCACGCCATTCTTCTAGAGTGACGGCAGGCTGGGCCAATGGCGGGGCGGCGAGCGGGAGGGCGGGCCCGGCAGGCGAGAGTGGGCGGGGCCTCGCGAGCCCGGTAGTTAGCCGGAGTGGGAGGAGCTTAGAGCGGCTCGGTCTCAGGGGCGTGCGCACGTCCTTCCTTAACGCGCTGGTCGGAGTCGGCCGAGACCTCTTTCTTTCCTGCGCAGCGGTGCGAAGGCCAGGTAGGGTCCGGCTGGGCCGTGGAGGTGGCTCGCCCGCGAGCTCCCCTTGGGTGCGAGTGGGCACGTGCACCCCACCCCGCGCCCTGAGCTCGGGCCGGCACCCGGGCAGCCACTCGGGTGAGCCTCGTGGAAGGACGCGGGCTCTTGGAGGGGGAGGTGCAGGCCCACCTGTGATTACCGAGCTTCAGGTTTGCAATTTACCTGGGCTTCCAAGGCGACCAGAGCAAATGCAAGCCAGGGGTGATCGAGGCCGTGGAGAGTAGAAAAGTGCTTCTTTCTGTGTACGTGGAAGGGCTTGGAGGGAGAGAACGACTGGACCTCCCGATGCCTATTAAAACTCTTCTCAAAATGGAAGGGCCAGAAACAGGGATGCCTAAGAGGCAGAGCGGCGCTGCTCCCCTCCCTCCCGGCGGATCCTGCTTGGGCTGTGGCTCCTGGACCGCAATCTAGCGTCACTGGGCGGGAGTGGCCCAGCCCATCTCTGCTCCGGAATATTACTGACCAGTGGTTGTGGGCTAGCTACTTATTCTAGAGGAAATTGCAGCAGTCCCGTTGGATAATTGTGAAGCCCTCAGGAGACCTCGCCCCAGTTAAGCAAGACCTGCGGGCTTCCTGGGAGGCTACCAGCCGGCCATGAACTGACATAAGATGTATTTAAGAAAACTTCCTGTTCGTTCTAGCCTAGGCAGTGTGGTGGTCCCTTGGCTGACTTGCTTTCTGGCTGTGCCAGAGCCAGTCTGTCCTGATAAGCCTGACCCTTAGGTCGACTTTTCTGCCCTTGGCTCGGCGATGGATCCGAGCCGGTGAGATTTTTCGTTAAGGAAACTTGTTGCCCAGCCTAAAGATGCAGATTAGATACGCATGGTGGAAGGAGCGCAACGGCTCCTACAAGTGGTCGCACTTTCACAGTGCGAGGTGCCACGTGGTCGCTCCCCTCCCCCAAATAAAGGAAAAGAAAGTGCATTTGAGCCAGGGATGGTGATGGCCACGTGTAAGCCCAGCACTGGGGCAGGAGCATCACTATGAGTTCAGGTCAGCCTGGCATGTAATAGAATGTGGGGATGGGAGGCAGAAGACAAAGCGAATGACATTTAAATCCAGCCTGGTCTACAAAAAGGGTGTTTGAAACCTACGAGGTAAATCGTTGGTGCTTTGGAGATAAGAAATGGGCTGAGGAGTGTTAAGTATGCTTTGTAATACAGTGGGTTTTCTCTTGGTGAGCTATAAAGATACATTGTCTCGCAGAAGAGAAAACTAAAGACCAGCTTCTGTTGGAACAGAAAGATCAGGGGTTTGCTAGAGAGATGTGGGGAACCTAGGTAAATAATGGCTTTTGAGTGCTAATGTGTCTTCATGTCTCATGCAGTTTTTTAGTTCTAGAAGCTTTTGGGAAGAAGGGATCAGCTTTGCTGTTTGCTGGCCTGTACCCTCTTCCTCTCAGGCTATGTTGGTATTCATGGATACATTTTTTTTTAATGACATAAAATGCAATTTTGAAAGATACTAACCAGAAGTCATTGGTGTTGGCCTAAATATGGTGGTGCAGATTGAAGCCAGAACCACCCACGTGCTAGCCAAGCTGGCAGACATGTGCCACACATCCCCTAGAGCTGGAGTTAGTTCCTGGCTCTAAGCTGCTTCCTCCATGCAACCAGAACAATGTTCTGTCTAGTTGTGGATAAGTTTTTATTTACTTATTTGGGATGTAGGACGGGACACCAGAGTTTGGGGGGGAGAGGGAATCAGCCCAAGTGGTTTCCCCATTGTGCCGTGTGGTCATCAGGCTTGGGCAGAAGTGCCAGCCACTGGCCTGCTCTTAAAGGAAGAATCCTCACTAGCTCCCAGCATGTCTCATTACTACCCTCCTCTAAGCCCCTTTGTTCTGCTAAGCCCGGGGTTCCCCAGAAGTGATCTCTTGAATGGATTATGCATCTCTGTTAGAATTTATGGTAAATATGAACTTTTTTTTCCCTGCAGAAATTCACCATGTCTATTCTCAAGATCCATGCCAGAGAGATCTTCGACTCTCGTGGGAATCCCACCGTTGAGGTTGATCTCTATACCGAAAAAGGTATGCGCCCACTTCGTTTCCATAGTTTTCATTTCATCGAGAATGCAGTCATGGGTAACAAACACGATTCTCTCGTCCTTCCCTCTGCTGAGGTTACAGGGATGTGCCACCATGCACATCCCTGCTTCTTGGTGTATGATAGGATGTGGGTCGGGTAAGTCATGGGACCAGAGGAAAGAGGTGAGGGCTTAAGCCCTTGTTCAAAAAAAATAAGCCATCATCCTTTAGCCTCACAGCCTGCTGGGGTCAAATAAGCAAGTGGAGGGTGATATCCCACAGAAAAAGGAAAGGTCAGGGCCAGGCTCCAGTTAAGAACACTCACTGTTTCTTGCAAAGGTCCTGAGTTCAATTCCCAACAGCCACATGGTGACTCAACCATCTATAGTAAGATCTGGTGTACAGGCAGAATGTTGTATAACAAATAAATCTTTAGAAAGGAAAAAAAAAAAGGAAAGGTTAGGGCAGGTGTGGCTGGCAGTTCCCTGATGGGACACTCACTGTTAAGTTCTTTCAGGACAGCCCAGAAGCTCTTTTAAACTATAGGACATTTCCCATGGCAGGGGAGTGTTAATGGGCGTGCCTCAAAGTGTGAGGGACCGGGTCAGTGCTGGGCTAATGTGGGAGGTCTTGAGTTGGAATCACAGCACTGCAGAAAAGGTTTGGTTTGAAGTAAACTGGCTGGGTGTGGCAGCTAATCCCTTTAATCGCAGGATTGTCCGTTCTGAGACCAGCCTGAGCTTCACAGCAAGCTCTCCTCAGAGCTAGCCCTGTGCTACCCAGCTGTGTGTATTCAGAGGTGAATGTGGTAGTGGGAGAGCAGAGGAAGACAAGGCACACAGGCCTGCAGAGCTCAACAGGACCTGCCAGGCAGAGCTGAGTCACTGTCTGAGTCACCAGAGCCCAGCCCTTCCTGCTCATCCTCCCCTGCCTCAGAAGAGAGGCATCCTTAATCCTCAGCAAGAGCAGCTGGTGTGTGACAGCCATTGGTGTGGCTGCAGGGCTCCGCCGGGTCCTGCAGGCGTCAGGTACCAAGGACCGGCTCCATCTGCCGATGTAGCCTTCCACTTCAACTGACTTCTGAAACATCGGGTAATTAGAAGATGGAAGGGCATCTAACTGCATGCAGCTCTTTATTTAAGCTGATTAAGTCCGTATATTCACCACGTCCAGCCCAAAGTTGGTATTTCCTAAATTAATATAATTTTAATATTTTTACCTGCCAGTTAAAAGCAATATTTACAATAATTAGTTTGCTTGTTTTGCCATAATATTTTCCTGTGCATTTAGCCTGCACTGGTCTCCAACCCTCAGTCCTCTCAGCTGCAAACATTAGAGTTGTGTGTCAACAATTATTGGCTTAAATATGGTTCAGTTAGGGAGGAAAGCGCCTGCCATGCAAGCATGAGACCCGAGATGCAGTCTCTAGCACCCACATAAAATACCGGGTCTAGCAATCCGTGCCTGCAAACAGCACTGCAGAGACAGACATGGAGGGGCCCTGCAGGTCACAGCCAGCGCTGGCGAATGGGCGAGCTCCGGGTGCAGTGCGACCCTGTGGCAAAAGAAGTGATGTAGCTGCTATGTCTAATTTTTTTTTTTAGTCCTGGCACTGAAGGTGGCAGAGACAAGCCGTTAGAATCCATCATGGTCTGCATAGAGAGTTTAAGGACAACCAGAGCTACAGTGAAACCCAGTCTCAGAAAACGAATTGAGGCAGCCTTTAGTTCAAATTTATAGGGTAAAAAGTAGAGTTTATGTAATCCCCATCCGTGGTCTCCACCAATTTCATTTTTTATAGTTTGTGCATCTGCTTCACCATCCTTGTCAGCAACAAGCAATAGAATTTACTCTTGCTTCCCCTAGGCCGGAAGCATGTGGAGATATAGGAAACCTGGGGGGGGTGCAGGCACCTGAGCATTGTTTGTATCTATTGTAGACTCAGTATAAAGAATGGTGTGCGAGAGCACTGGGCTGATGGAACCCACAGTGCTTCTGGGTCTGGATGTTTTTTTGTTTGTTTATTATTTTATACAGTGTTCTGCCTGCATGTACACCTGCACACCAAAAGAGGGCACCAGATCCCATAGATGTTTGTGAGCCACCATGTGGATGCTGGGAATTGAACTCAGGACCTCTTGAAGAGCAGCCAGTGCTCTTAACCTCTGAGCCATCTCTCCAGCCCGGGTCTAGGTGTTTTAACAGGGCGTCTTGGACCTGAGCTGTTGGTTCATTTCTGTTCAGTAGTTTTGTTTGCCTGCTTTTTAAGGTAGGTCTTGCTTTGGTCCAAGAAGGCTCCAAACACAGCCTGCTGCCTCTGCCTGCTGTGTATTGGGATTGCAGGCATGTGCCACACCCAGAGCTGTGATTCTTAATTGCTATTTTCCCACCTGTGCTCCAGGTCTCTTCCGAGCTGCAGTGCCCAGCGGTGCCTCCACTGGCATCTATGAGGCCCTAGAACTCCGTGACAATGACAAGACTCGGTACATGGGGAAAGGTAAGGCTGGGAACTTAGTTTCCCATGTCCACGCACCAGCTGTCTTAGCACTTCCCCCAGATACCACTCCTGTCAGAGCTTTGGAAATAATTCCCATCTTCAGTGGGGGGAGATTTGTTGCCTGGCTGACAGGCAAGGCCTGGGTGAGTCTGCTCCCAGCCTCTAGTTGGCAGACTGACCTCTAACCTTGGGGTGACGCCCATCTGTCTGTAAATGAAATCTGCATGCTGAAGGTGCTGCAGAGCACACAGAATTGGGCCTTTCCTCCTTCCCAGGTGCAGTGTCAGTCCTATAAGTGTGGGTCTTTCCAAAGAAACTGAATGTTAACTGTAACCGGTGCCTGCACATTAGGGATGTTGAGGTCAGCGATTGAGGAAAAGTCTCAAGGGAAGGTTGTGTGTTCACTGGATGTCTTGAGCTTGTTTCCTTAGAGGCTTATGGCTGGGTAGAGGACAGGTGGTCCCAGTGCTAATGCGCCAGCCAGGGTTAGGCGAAGCCTGGCATGGGAAGCTCTCCTGCCTTCTCTTTCCTCGCTTTCCTTCCTCTGTGTCCTGAAGCCTGTTCTCCTGAGTCTCTCTTTCCTTCTATTCACCTCTACTGGGCAGGCGTCTCCAGACCTGTTAAGTATGTTAATGAGTTCCTGGCTCCAGCCTTGTGCACTCAGGTAACAGCTGGCGACCTAGGTGTGCAACTGGTCTTCCCAGTGCATGATCTTGAACTAACGCCCCTCAGATCGCTCTGTGCTGATAACTCTTTGTGTGGCTCTCAGCCCCTGGGGTCCTAGGGAAAAGCACTCAGACTGGGCCAGACAGACCCATTTGAAGGGGCATGAGGAATGGGTTTAACAGAGTCCTTAGGCTTGGGCCCACTACCCCAGTGCTCTCCAGCAAGGCTGCTCAGGCCTGCGTACTGTAATTCTGTCAGTAATTTCATGATTGTTCCTTCTAGGTGTCTCAAAGGCTGTTGAGCACATCAATAAAACAATTGCACCTGCTCTGGTTAGCAAGGTAGGACCCACCTCCTGGTACTACTGTGTACCAACGCCACCAGAGCCAGGCACAGGCCTTCCTGTTAACGGGACAGCTTATTCTGAGCGCTAGGAAGCTGGCAGGATTCCCTATCATGCATGAGTCTTAACGTGCCTGCTGCCTGTGTCCTGATTGCCTCTGATAACACCTGAAAACTGGGGTGGGGTGGGGTGGGGGGTGAGGAATGCTTGACATCCTTCCATTTCCTTTCTTGACCTTTGGGAGGTCATGGTCCAGAATTTAATAGCAGCTCTGCAGGACATGGTAGGTAGATATATGGATATTGGAATTGGGTTTGTTATTAGCTGTGATGCCAGGAAGGACTGGGGCTCCATTGAAGCCCAGGCTGTAGTCCCAAGCACCACATAAAATAGGTGATGGCCTTGCTGGCAATTCTGGTTTGGGAGACAGCCAGAGCTGCATCCCTGCCCCCATCTTAGTTGATGGGTACATACTGTGTACAAAGCCCTGAGGTCAAGTCTTTCCCAATTAAAAAAGTCCTTCTTTGGGGCTACAAAAAAGCTCAGTAGAACAGCACTTACTGCGCTTCCAAAGGACCATCACCAATGTCAGCCGGCTCACAACCACCTGTGACACCTGTTGTGCGTGAATAGGCTTCCGGCGCCACCCTTGGCCTTGCCCAGAATTGTATGCTGTGAGTCCTAAGTCAGTTCTCAGTAGTGTTGGCCAGCCCTCCTTGGTCTGCAGACATCTTCTTCCCTCTTGGACGCAGTCTGTAGCATCCAGGCATTTCCCCCGGTCAGCCTCTGTAACTCTCTAATTGGTTCTGCTTGTCTGGTCTCCAGATAATTGCTCATTAAAGCACTTATTTGTATCCTCTGTTCCAGTCTTCTGGGCATGTCCTTGTACACTGTATTTTATATCCCCTGTCGCTAGGCCTTCCCCATCATACTTGACTCTTGGGGACACACATTTAGGCCTAGTTACAGTGAGGCTTTGCCACTGGGAGCTTTCGGCTTTGGCAAGTACTTGCCTTTAGTAATGCCTTGTCAAAACAGCAAGATGGCAGACACTCACATAGCAGCACTCAGGGAAGCAGAGGCGGGCTGATCTCTGAGTTTGAGGCCAACCGCTACAAAGAGGTCTATATAGACACTGTAAAAAAAATCACAGAATGGATACTTGACATGCATATTTTTGCACTACATGCATGCCTAGTACATGCATAGGCAGAAAAGAGCATCATCCTGCAACTGTAGTTCCAGATAATTGTGAACCATGTGATTCGGGAGCTGAACCCTCATCCTCTGTATTAGCAACAAGTGTTAGTAACAACTGAGCCATCTCTAATCAGATGTTTTGGTAGGGGTAGTCATGCATTCCCCTCACCAGACAGTGGAGCTTTGTCTTGGCCAAGAGGGACAGCCTTTGAGGCAGCCACTGCAGGGCTGATTGACTGAAGAATTGGCCTTATTGCTTAATTCTTGTGCAAGAACACCCTTGTTTGTGGAAATGCTTTATACAGCCTGTGCCATACAACCATCTGCCTTGTTGTATGTGTGACCTTGACTCCCTGGTGAACTGTAGTCTGTGGACCTAGGGAAATGCCTGAAGCTGTTAATTAGGATAAGTCAAATGTGGGGTTCTTTTGGTTTGTTTTTTTCTATTTCTACCTCATTCTTCTCTTTGGGGCTGGGGGTGGAGCCAGTCTTACAAGCAGTGAGAACCTCCATTGCTGAGCTCTGTGCCCAGCCCCTTGGCCTCCTGACAGACTGGGTGTACATGATTGCCTGGCCCTCACCTTTCTGTGTCCCCCACAGAAACTGAATGTTGTGGAGCAAGAGAAGATTGACAACCTGATGATCGAGATGGACGGCACTGAAAATAAATGTGAGCAGCGCAGGGGGCCATTGAGTAGGAGGAGCGTGGTTCTCTGGACGGTCTCTTTGGTTTATAGTTCAGCAACTTGTGGAATGTCAGCCATATTCCGATGTTGGGGGCGCTATTTGCAGGGAGGACAGGCGGGTCCATTTCAGTAAGCCAGAAATGGCATTGTGACTTAATATGCGGCAGGCTGGAGGGGGAAAGACAGCTAAAAAATGGCCTCCATTCACCATTTTTATTCTATTTTAGCTAAATTTGGTGCAAATGCCATCCTGGGAGTGTCCCTGGCTGTCTGCAAAGCTGGTGCTGTGGAAAAGGGGGTGCCTCTTTACCGTCACATTGCTGACTTGGCTGGCAATCCAGATGTTATCCTGCCGGTCCCAGTGAGTAAATCGTTGGAGCTTGCTTGAGGGTGTCTTGTTTCTATAATATTTTCCAAATATTAATATAGCAGTGAAATATTCCAAGAAAAAAGCTCAGTTTCTAAATATAATCCATCATGGCAGGGAGGTCGGGTCAGCAGAGAGTCATCACAGTTTACCATCAGGAGCAGCAATGAAGCTGGGTGGTGGCACTCAGGCAGAGGCAGATGGAAGAGTTTGAGGCCAGCCTGGTCTACAGAGATTTCCAGGACAGACAGTCAGTGCTTCATACTGTGGCTCTGTCTGAAGGGGAAAAAGTGAGATGTGTCAAGTACTCTACTCATTCATCTCCACCATTCCCAAGCTCAGGGAATGATGTCACCCAAGTGGGCTAGTTCTTTTCATCAGTTAGCTTAGTCAAGACAGTATTGCCACAGACACGCAGGTACTAGTGAGCATTGCACAGCCATCCTGGTACTTTGGGCCAGGTGGTAGCTAGTTCTTATGCTACGGTGGGTGTCCCATGGCTTTCCTGAGCTGGTATCATAGCTCTTTGCTTCTCCCAGGCTTTCAATGTGATCAACGGTGGCTCTCATGCTGGCAACAAGCTGGCCATGCAGGAGTTCATGATCCTCCCAGTGGGGGCTTCCTCTTTCCGGGAGGCCATGCGCATTGGAGCTGAGGTTTACCACAACCTGAAGAATGTCATCAAGGAGAAGTATGGCAAGGACGCCACCAATGTGGGGGACGAGGGCGGATTTGCACCTAACATCCTAGAGAACAAGGAAGGTGAGAGCAATAAATAGTTTCCTTATAGCTGACATTTTGGGGGCAGGATCAAGACTGACAGGCTTTGGGAGGGAAGAGTTTTGGGTGTTTTCTTTTTAGTCTTATGGGATAGCTGGAGAAGGGCACTAGATACCCTAGAGATGGAATTAAAGATGGTACCATGCAGGTACTGCATTCTCTGGAACTGCACTTATGCACTGAACTGTCTCTCCGGCCAGCAGATTACTTTATTTGATCCCACTTTAATTTTGTATATGGGTATGCCCCGCATATATGGGCCACCTCACCTTCCTTCCCCCTTGGCATGAGGGATGGAGCTTGGCTTGTTAGACTCTTTGACCTGCGTAAATGGGTTTCATTGTGAATTAGCCTTCTAGCTGGTGGGGTCATTGACGGGTGGCAGGAGCCATATGTCTGCTCTTGGCAGCCTTGATTGAGATGGCCCTTGCTGAGGTTTCCCTCTTGGATCCCAGCCTCTGTTCTATTTAAAGCTAGTCCATCCTCGGGACAGCTGATCTCAGCCAGTCACTGTAACTGTATCTTGGCCAGCACAGCTGCACGGCACTAAATTCGGGATCACTGACCATGAGAAATTCGGGATCACTGACCATGAGAAGGGCTGTGTGGGGGTTTGTGTGACTGCCACTTTGTGGGCCCGATGTCCCTGACCAGTGGCTTTTTGACCCACAGCAGGAACAAAAGTACCTGACCCCAAACTCATGGCCAGGGCCGGGTAGTTTTGTTCTTTGTGACTTAATATTAGCAGTCATGTGAGGTCTTCTGTTCGTTACCTACCTTTGCCGTTTCCAGCACTGGAGCTGCTGAAGAACGCGATTGCAAAGGCCGGCTACACCGAGCAGGTTGTCATTGGCATGGATGTGGCTGCGTCTGAGTTCTTTAGGTCGGGCAAGTATGACCTGGACTTCAAGTCTCCTGATGACCCCAGCAGATACATCACACCTGACCAGCTGGCTGACCTGTACAAGTCCTTCATCCAGGACTATCCAGGTGAGTGTTCCCAGGCTGCTGGCCCCTTCTCTCCCTCTCCCAGCTGCGGTTTGCAGTTTACTCAGGGTTAACCCAAGACTCCAGCATTCCCCATTCCCCTCCTGCCCATTTCTTTTTTGGAGTCATGCTGACCTTGAACTTTAGTGGACAGGTTCATACTTCAGCTTCTTTCTAATTTTAGGAGACATTGCAGTGTACATCCTCAGTCAGAGCAGAGAGGTAGATCTGAGTCCACATAACAACTTCAAGTGCAGGCTAGCTGGTGCTATATATGAGGCACTGCCTCAAAAATTGCATTTCAAGATCATTGTATACATTATGTCATGATGCAGAGGTGAAGTAGGAAAATGGCAAGTTCAAGGCAACTTGATGCTGCACAGCCAGCCTCAAGTACAAAGACCCTGTCTCAGAGCCATTCTGGGCTGCATAGTGACAGGTTGTCTCAAGAATTTTGGAGCTAGGAATAAAACCCAGGGTCTCTCTCAGCCACTTACCTACAGTCCCAGCTCCCTCGTATGTCACAGCATTCAGGTGTGTGTATATTTTGGCAGGTAACTGGCTGGGCATGCAAATGCTCCCTTTTCAGAAGAAGTCGAGGGAGCTTGAGATGTATCTTGGCAGTTAAGAGAACTCTAGAGCAAGATGTGTGCCTGTGATCTTTCTGGCACTTAGGGTACTTGAGGCCAACAAAGAGAAAGCAAGCCCTTAGGCTCATGGGCGAAGGAGGAAAGGAAGAGTGGTGCCCTAGGACCAGCGCTCAGGCTCACTCTCGGCCGTTCTCCTTTCTTAGTGGTGTCCATTGAAGACCCCTTTGACCAGGACGACTGGGAAGCGTGGCGAAACTTCACCGCCACAGCAGGCATCCAGGTGGTTGGGGATGATCTCACGGTGACCAACCCTAAGCGCATAGCCAAGGCTGTGGGCGAGAAATCCTGCAACTGCCTCCTGCTCAAAGTGAACCAGATCGGCTCTGTGACCGAGTCTCTTAAGGCGTGAGTAGCCTGGGCAGGGGATTCTGGGACTGAGTCCCAGGCCACTCTTATGTGAGGGATGCAGCCATAAGCATTGGTTTCCTGATCTGCATTCCTTGTGGCTCAACTTGACTACATAGACACTGGTAACTTCAGTGTCTTAGGGGTCTGGAAGCCCCTCAGTGTGAGCATTAATAGATGAGAATACCCTCAGGCATGAAGACCATTCAACACAGGGTGAGTGGTCAGGTAGGGATCTGACTCTCCCTTCCCTCAGGTGTAAGCTGGCCCAGTCCAATGGCTGGGGCGTCATGGTGTCCCATCGCTCTGGGGAGACTGAGGACACTTTCATCGCTGACCTAGTGGTGGGACTGTGCACTGGGCAGGTAAGGGGTTCTGCCTGGGGGGGGGGGGGGGTGCTGTTTCAGCTACATGTGTGAAGGCTAGGCCTTTATTCATGTTCCCTGGAGCTTCTGCAGCGACGGCTGTTTCTTTGTTGTTCCAGATCAAGACGGGTGCCCCTTGCCGATCTGAGCGCCTGGCCAAGTACAACCAGCTCCTTAGGTAAAGACACTTGCTGGTAACTGGGAGAGAGGGTGTGCCTGTGCTGTTGGATTCTCAGAGTGAACACTAGTAGTTGTGAATGTGCCCAGAAGCAGGCATGGGCTGCACCGTGCTGCCATCTTGTGGTGGAAGGCAGAACAGGTCCGGCCACATGCAGAGCCGAAAGGGCTGCCTTTTCTGAACAGGACAGTTGGGTGTGACATCTTCCTGGGTAGTGCCATCACCTCACTATGGAGCTGAAAGCTGTATCCCACTCTAATTTGAAACTCATGGCAATCCCCCTGCTTCCACCTTCCATGTGCCTGATTATTAACAAAGGGTGTGAGCTACCACACCATCTACAGAGAGAGCTAACTGCTTTTTTCCCCCTCTTTGTTTGCCAAGAATTGAAGAAGAGCTGGGCAGCAAGGCCAAGTTTGCTGGCAGGTCCTTCAGGAACCCCCTGGCAAAGTAAAGCGTGGACTGGAGATCCTGGAGCCAGCAGCTGCTTAGATCCTCCCTGTCCCTGGTGTCATCAAGGCCAGTCCAGTACTTGTCCTTTCCATGTCACAGCTTCCTTAGACTCTGAAGTCACGCCTGACCACCTGGAACCCTGCTGGAAACCCCAGCTTTGTAATCATGTGATTGGTCTGAATCATTGTTCCTGTCACCTCACTTGCCAGCTAGTGTCTGGAGCCCTCGTGACTCCAGTGTAATCTCTAGAACTCCCCCCCCCCCCCATGGTTCTACATGCAAAATAAAAGCCGCAGTAACCATGAGAGCACTGCTCATGTGTGGGTAAGGCTGGATTCGAGTCTCATTTGTGACGCCTGGGCTGAGGCAGAGTGGGCCTGAGCTGTTACTCTGTCCCCTCCAGTGGACTGGTCCCTGGGTGGAGACACCTGCAACCCTCTTTAACAGTTAGGATTAAAAGGTGGTGTAAGTGCCACACAGTTGTGAGGGGGCATTGAGCTCAGGCACGCAGTTACTGACACAAGCTGAGCAATCAATGCTCTGAACCCAATGTGAGGAGGGGTCCTTGCATTTAAAAGAACTGGCCTGACCAGGTGGCTGGCGGCTGGGTTATGTAGGAGTAGGGCCAATAGGGGGTGGGCTGTGTTGGGTGAGAGCCTGGCAGCGTCCATGCAAATTCCCTCACCCACCCTAAGGCATGCCACAAGTGTCCCACGTTTCTGATGACAGGGAAGTTGTTTGCTGGATGGAGTACTTTTACAGCGTACACAAGCCTGGCTTCAGCCTTGAGTACTATAAAGAAAGGTGGCATTGTTAAATGTTTAACTGCCATGGGTTCTTAGTAATAGGTTAGTTTAGTCAGAGACCTTGGGCAAACTGCCCTTCAAATCCTCCTGTGCATTTTCCAGATAGCAGATTCACACCAGCTACCATGCAGCTATCCCACGCCCAGCCAGAAATAGCTTTGGGAGGCTGAGACCGGAGGGCTGCTGTAAGGTGACCTGAGGTCACTGAGGTGCTGCTTTGCTCCTCAAGGCAGCAAGTTTGTGAGCAGTGCAGTGGGATTTAGCTTCTTTAGGGGATGGTGTATCAGACTGGCTTAAAACTAGGCTGCCCTGCATGCCCAGCAATTTTTATTCATTACTATTTTAAATTGCGTGTATGTTTCCATCTAGTGATGGGCATGAAAGTTCAAGGACCCACAGAGCTCAGGTGAGGGTCCCTGTGGTCATCTGGAGTTTTAAGGTTATGTACTCTGGCTGGCGTGGGTTCGTCACTGAACCTGAGTCCTGTAGGAGCACAGGCACTTTAAGCCACTGAGCCATCCTCCCATCTCAGCACTAGGGGTTTTCCTGACGTTTTTTGATTGCCAGATAATGGCATTTATCACGTTAGGTTTACACACTTGTGTTTTGCTGTTGTGTGTGTCTGGTTCCCATGCAGGTCAGGAAAGGGCAGTGGGTCATTTAGAACTGTAACACAGTTGTGGGTGCTGGGAACACAACCCAGGTCCTCTGCATTGCCCTTGATGGCTGAGCCATCTCCAACCTTCATCCCCCCACTCTGGAGGTGAGGGCGACTATAAATAGCTTTTCTATTGAGCCTGGCTGTGAGCAAAAGCTGCTGAAAAAGCACCAGTAACACTTTGTTGCTTCTTTGCTTAATGTGTTTTTAATCCACTTTGTCACAAAACAAGCATTTTCTATCTGGTTTTAGCACATTCCTGGGCCTCTCTGGTTGTCTAACTTGGCCATGTGGGAGTCTCCTGTGGGTTCATTGCTCAGGCCTTATCCCAGAATCCTCTCTGACCTCTGGCAGAAAAGACTTCAGTCTTTGTTACAAAGCCCCCAAGGGCTAGAATGTCAAGCCTTCAAGGGTAAGGGGGAACAGTCAGGCCTTCATGAAAGCCCCTGGCCATGGAATTCCGTTCATGAATACAGCTGAGGCAGGAAGACAACAGCCAAGAAAGCCCGTGTTCTGGTGGTGGATTCTGAGCTGGGCCTATAGATGTGGCCAGTTCAGCACTCTTCCTGAGCAGCAGGGACCCCCTGCCAGCTTCCCCACTTCCCACCTCACCCCACTGCTCCTGCTTTCACAGACACTAACTGCAGTAGCTCACCAGCTTAGGCCGCCATTCAGAGTAAACAGTAATAAACAGAATAAATAGACTGAACAATCAGATACTGTATCCCATGTAAGGAAGAATGGTGCCTTTGGCTTTGCTGAACTGCACAGTGGCTTAGTGGCTCAGTACTGGCCCCCGCGTTCCTGTGACCACTGTACCCCTGTGTTTGTGGTGTGTGAGTATATGTGCTGTGGGGGTGAGGGTCTGTGTGTGTGTGTGTGTGTGTGTGTGCCTAAGTGACAACCAGCAGCTAGCTGCCATCCACATTGATTGCTGCAGATTTGAGGAGGGCACAGTGCTAGGGGTTAGAGCCAGGGTCTCTTCCTGTGATAGAAGTTCCATACTGCTCCACTCTCAGGCCTGTCTGGATTTTCAAAAATGAGACTGGGTGCCTAAGTCAGCAGAGTGCTGGGCTTGTTTGGGGAGTCCCCCCTCCTGTTTTCTGGGCAAACATGTCCCATGGATCAGTCCTTATTCCTCTGTCTGTTTTGTTGAGCCTGGTATCAGTGTGTCCATCTCTAGTGCCCATATTCTTCATGAAAGTTTCTGGGTTCTCTAGTACCTGGGGGCATTTTCCTGAACTCACTCCAGAGATGTGCCAGAAATAGTGAGGTGTTCTGTCTCAGCCCTGCCAGTGACAGAATACTCCTAACTTTTCGTTTTTCATTGTTTTGTTTTTGTTTTGGAACTCATTAAGTCACCCAGGCTGGCCTCAAACTCCCACAATCCTGCCTCAGCCTGGCTGGGATTCCAGGTGTTAACCCTGCTCTTTATCACTTACTTCTTTTTTCTTTCTTTTTTTTCTTTGTAAAAAAAAAATTTTTTTTTTTTTTATGTGTACGTGTGAGTACCTACATATATGTGTGCGCATGAGTTGCCTGCTGGGTGCCCTCGGAAGCAGGCACAGGATCTTCTGGAGCTGAGCTAAGGGCAGTTGTGTTCTGCCTGATGTGGGTGCTGAGAACCAAACCTGAGTCCTCAGAAAGGGCAGCAAGTGCTTTTTATTTTATTTTTCAGTGCAGCATGTGTGTGTGTGTGTGTGTGTGTATGTGTGTGTATACATGTATGCACGTGCTCGTGTGTTCTTTTTTTTTTTTTTTCCTCCCTCAGGAGCTTGGAAATGAACGAAAGTCCTTGTGTTTGGTAGGCAAGTGCTCCACTACGGAGCTAACTCTCCAAATGCTGGCCTTTCAAACAACAAAATTACAGTTAATTATTTAAGTTATTGTAATTATTACATTTATTATAATTATATTATAATTATTTAAGTTACAAAGTTAAATGATGTAATTTTATGTGTGGGTAGGGAGGAGTGTTCACGTGCCGTGGCGCAGGACAGTGTGTTGGAGTTGGCGCTCTCCTTCTACCATGTGGATCCCCGGGCTCAGACTCTGGCCCTGTGGCTTGGCAGAAGGTGCCTTTACCTGCAGAGCCCTCCCCCCAGCCCTCCCTCCGGCCCTCTGTAAGGCTTTTGCCCTGGTCCGCAGTGTACTGCAGACAGAGCGCTCCCCAGCCCTTTCTGTAAAGCTCTACTGCCAAGCACTCACAGGTTCTGGTGCTCCAGGGTTTCTTCCCACTGACAACTGACGCCTGGGGCCTGAGGTTGAGAGAGGCCCCTGACACGTCCTTGAGCTTTCCTACTTTCGTAGGTCCTGACTGTGGGGCAAGCACCACCTTCCTAGGCTTCTCCCTCTCAGCCCTCCAGGAGGCCGACCTGGCATTCAGGCTGCAGAATGGAAAGGCTTGCTAATCAGGACTGCTGTCCACGGGGGACAGGAATGATAGCAGACTCATTTGCATATGTGACCTAAGACAGTAATTAAACCCAGGCGCCCCAGGGGTGAGAAGCAAGCACATTAATTCAGGAGCAATTAAAAACCCTCTAGTGTCACCACGCACAGCAACCACTTCTGAGATGGTGGATGACAGTCACCTTCGGGCTCCCGCATTTGGCCACCAGACAGCAGCACATTTTTAAGAAGCACTAGCTCGGGGTTCAGGGAGGGACGGAAGCTCTGCTGGACCCTCAGCCCTTCTCCAGGCCCTGAAAGCCATTACTGGCTAAGCAAGGTCTGAATGCTTTTCCTTAACAGTGGCACAACACAGATAACAGCTGCTCTCTTCCTGTCTTCAGGTATATAATACAGCAGGGTTTAGTGAGTGCATCCCTAATGTTAACCATGTGTGCTAGGACCCTGGAGGCACAGGTTTGACTGTCCCTCCAAATGTTCTGTTGTGTCACAGTGGTGTTAGAAATGACCTGGAGGTGTTGACCCCTTGTCTGAACATGCCTGCCTGGCCTTTGCCGCTTTAGGAAACTCAACGTAAGTGGGCATTCTACCATCTTCCCAAACGTACATAGTACACAAACACTCGGCTCCAGGCAGCATGCTCCTCTGCCACTCGAGGCACATAGCCCCTCCCCTCCCCCCGCTTATTCTTCCATTCCAGGTGGTTTTATGTGCCTCAGAAGGCTTGGTCATATGCCAGAGGAAGTGTAAAGTCTCAAGGCAAAACCAGAAAGGGAATCTTTCCGTCTTGTTTGTGTGTTTCATTGGTCGGCTCTGTGAGGTCGTGTCTCATGCAGCCCATGCCAGCCTTAGACTCACTAACTAGCCTCATTCTCACACCACAGGCTTCCATTCAGTGTCGTGGAAGATGGGAGCCCTCGGCTTCCTGGCCCTGCCATTGTGCCTGCAGGAGTTAGAAGAGGGCATCAGAACCCTGGAACTGGAGCTACAAATAGCTGTGCACCACCATGCGGGTGCTTGTGGTTCCAGAGCCTGGGTCCTGCTGCTTCCCTTCCCTGGGTCCTGCTGCTTCCCTTCGGGGCTTCCAGATGCTGGACTTGAAGGAATGAAGCTTAGCCAGGCGGGTGGGTTCACAGGGTCTCAACCTGGCGGTGAGTACCTGAGGGGGAAAAAGCTTCTCCGCCGCAGCCCTTTCAGCTACAGCCCCTCCAGTGAGACAGCTTTCATTATTGGCTCCATAAGCCTTGGGGAGGTGGGTAGGGGTTTTCGGGTGACTGCATCATTGGACAGGGCTGAGTGCAGGGACCGCTTCGTTTGCACGGAGAGGAATTCCAGGTGTTAGCTGGACGTGTCCTTACGAGGAAATCTGAAGCCTGGTCACCAGGCTACGGGACGGCCTCAGGGGTGGGGGAGGTGGGGTGGTCGCAGGACTATGAGCAGCAGGGCGCACAG